TTGAAGTTGCTCATCAATTGGTGCAATGCTTATGATTTGTTATATACCTTGAAGGACTCACATCCTGGAACACAGCAGGGAGAGATTCAAACAGCTCTTCAGCTGATAACTGTTGAATGCAAAGGCCCCAGTGTTTTTTCTAATTAACATTTTCATCCAACCATTTAGGGAGCCATTAGTGGCCTATGAGTTTGGGTGTAGACATGCAACACAGCTTGTCAGCATGTTGAAGTTGCATGTTTTGGATTCTTTTGCATTACTTATTCAGACGTGTCTCGATGTAAATGACTCAGTCTGAAAAAGAGGGAGGCATAGCAATGTTGTGTAACATACTACTTAGTCATTCATCTCCCCTGAGGGCAGACATTTTCACCCGTCTTCATTACTGCAACACACGGGCTCACCTTTCCTGTGTGTGTGTGTGTGTATATGTTTGTGTGTGTGTGTGTGTGTGTGTGTGTGTGTGTGTGTGTTTATGTTTGTCAAGACCTGATATGCTGACCTTGCAATGTTCACAAACATGCAGCTTCATTCTATGTGTCTCCTGCTGCAGAAAGAAGGGAGTTTAACATCTAGCAGTGAGATGCCAAAGTCAGAATAAGAAATGTCATGAGAAAAATTGTGTGTGTGTGTGTGTGTGTGTGTGTGTGTGTGTGTGTGTGTGCATGTGTGCGTGCGTGCGTGCGTGCGTGCGTGCGTGCGTTCGTGTGTGCGTGTGCGTGTGTGTGTGTGTGTGTGTGTGTGTGTGTGTGTGTGTGTGTGTGTTTGTGTAGGGAGCCTCCCTCCCTTGGGGTTGTGTATGGGCTTGTTGCAGCAGCATTCCTCCACTCAGCTGCTTCTGGGCAGCACATACCAGAAAGAGAGAGCGATAGGAAGAAAATACAAGAAAGAGAACAGAAGAGAGTAAAAGTGGGAGACAAGGAGAGTAGTAGATATATAAGGCGGGGGGGGGGGCTAGAATAAAAGAAGTTACAGAAGGAGACAGGGAATGGTGGTAGGAAGGAATATAATTGAGGATAAATTAGTGTGTGTGTGTGGGGGAATACAATATGATATGTGATTGATGTTTGTTGTGACGTTTTTGTGCAGCCGACCTCTCTCGTCTCCACAGAGAGGTTGGAGGTCAGGGTCAGTTACAGTGCTGAGTAACTAGAACCAGTGCTGAGAAAAGGAAGGGGAAGAGAGAAGGGGGAGGGACTCAGGAGGCCACAATCTTAAAATATTATTCCACATAACACACACACACACACACACACACACACACACACACTGTACAGTAGAGGACTCTTTGGTGTGTGTTCATCCCATCAGTCTGCTTGACCTGTTTCTACTGAACTGTGCAAGAGAGAAACCAATCCCATCTTTTTAATCTACAAGCAAACCAAATCAGACCAGATCATATTCTGATTGTATCCTTGGGTGTAAAGCAAAAAATTAAAAAGGGTTATTGAAGTGACATCTAATAGACCGGCCCTATTCAACAAGCAGTCTGTGACCTGACCCCTTTTTTCACTTAGCCACAGAAATATTTATTTATGGAATTGTTAACAACCAGATAAATTAAATCTTCAAATGCAACATAACGGGTGATAAAGGTTTTTTTTCAAAGATCATTATTTAGGTTAAAGGCTATTTGGACCACCTATTTTATTCTGGATTCAGGCAGGAGGGGTTTTAAAGAGCCAAACTGCATAAGAAAATATCTTAAATGCAAAATTGTTTTAATTAAAACATCAACCGACTTCTCTTTTACAGCAGCATGATGCAAAGTAAAATTCCTCAGCTTTAAAGATCACTGGGAAATATGGCAATTCTTTTTGGCCACTCCAGAAAAGTATCTAATGGGCCACTTACACCAAATGATTCATTAGTAAGTTGAAAAATGAATGCATATTGGAAGTATTCATTTGTTGCATCCCTGATGCAGGCAAACAAACAAACAATGCTTTCAGTACACAGCTAAGGACATAGCCACTTCATATACAAATGAGAGGAGGAATCAAATTAAACAAGATCGGGAGAGAAAATAGAAAAACAACTACAGAGGCAAGGCTCTGTTTTCAGACATGGAACTCTATGGTATTTCTCAAGTGTGGGGGATAAAGAGGCGAACAGAAACACAGAAAAGAAAGAAAATGTTAAATATTAACTGTGGATAACAAGCACATAAGTTTCAAGAGTGGAGCAACAAAAAGCAGTTTGTGTGAGAAAGCTTGTTGGCTCAGCCACAGCATCCCTTCTCCTCTCTCTCTACTCACACTGAATAGACGGGTTTGTTTGTTGTCACTGGTAGAACGAAAGGAAAACAAAGTCACTCGATTCCCCTTCTCTTTGTGTGTGTGTGTGGGTTTTTGTGAGGACAGTTAATCATGCATAAGTGTCTATTGAGTCCCCTGAAAACTCTTGCCAGAATCCTAAAATGTTTTTTTATTCTCTGTTCTTTTCTCCATCTCTGTGTCTCTCCATTTAGCTCAACTATTTTTCTTTCTTTAAATCTGAATGAACTTGGTGCTTAAAATTTGCACACCCTAATAATCTCATGTAACAGTCATATAATCCAATCACTGCAACTTTTTCACTCTTGGAAATTGAGTTTCCCAGTCTGCCAGCAATATGCAGAAAAAACATCCCTCTCAGTCTTTCATCATAGTATATATGTTCTTGGATTGTAGCACCGCTGAATGTTTCTGTTGCATTTTAATGCACAGTTGTTAAGGTTGTGCTCACTTGAAGCATTTATTGTTGGGTTTGCTTAATCCTGATATAATAAAAAGTAACTTTTTTACTACTGATGTAAAGTATAGAGTTGTCAAATGAACTGCATGTGCCTCTGACATTTAGCATAAATAAGATGTTGCTTGAAATGAGAATTCTCAAAGTCAAGGCACTATAGGTTTTACAGGAGTGATTGTTCTCCATCTGAAGATTAAAATGCTGAATGTATTTGCAAAATTGAACAATAAAATGTGTATATTCATTTGAATTTGTCATTCTTTTCAATGTTTTGTGCATGGTAAATGGTAAATGGATTTGAGCTGATATAGCACACCTTCTCATTCACATACAATAATTCTGTTTTAATCCTAAAGCCATGGACAGGGGTTGCAGATTAGCGAAGGGTAGAAACTTTTATGCATGGCATCTACTTTGTTTTTAATACCTGAAGCAATGTTTACTGCATGTGTCCCGGTTAAATAAACAAATATATAAATAAATAAAATGATGGCAGGGGTTGCTATGAGACCATCAGAAGTAACCAATCCCATCAGACATGTTGCTGCAGGAGCTGGGGATCAACCTGCAGCTCTACCACAACCGCCCCAGGTGGAAGGTTAACATCTAAAAACTGTAACAAAAACAAAATGGTACGATGGTAAATGGACTTGAACTGCTATAATGATATACACCGAAAGGTCTCCAAAAATTCACTGCTAAGTCATAGTTATTTGTTGTCCGTGGTCCATCCATCCATCCATTGATTCCGTTCATCCATCCATCCATCCATCCATGTTTTTCTTGTGTGTGTGTTGTGTGTGCACATTAACAGCTGTAAAACTGCAGGACACAGATCAGTCTGCTGTAATCTCTTCATACAGTTGACAGTTGAGAACATGTATGATGGTGGATATGTGGAGCTTGTTATCTACCTAGTGGGATTGTACACATGTGCCTCCAACTATAACTCTAAGAGGAATTAAACCCGGAGCCACCTGGACCTCTTACATAACAGAAATACTGTCACATTAAAGCTTGAATAGTTTAACTGGAGGCAGACACCAGTAAACGTTTTAAATTGTTCATCCCTGGTCTTATATAACAGACTCTTTTAGACAAATTCATCCACATCTCCAACTGTTGGATACAAAAAAACGAAAAAATGAAAATCTATCACAACCAAAAAGATGGGCCTTATGTGCAAGCCGGGAGACTTCATTAAAATAAGAAGTCAGTCTTGAGTGATTTTAAACTAGAGTTGAATACAACATGAATTAATTAAGACAATGCCAGGATTATCAATAATGCTACACACTGTGTGTGTTTTTAATAATAATAACTCTTTCCACAAGTGGAAGTGTACATACCTTGTATTATTCCATTATTGTATTTTTTCTCCCTTTATTTAACTGATGTAAGTATGTTTGATTTTTAACTTCTTGTTATTTTTAATAATTATATTCCTGTTTCCTGTTTTCTTGAGCTGTTGTAATGAAAAAAATTCCCCCATGGGGGATCAATAAAGTTTATCTTTATCTTTAAACAATCAGATAAAACGCAACATTAATGGGAAAATCATTGTGCATGCAGCAGAACTTGTTAAGAATCAATTCTGACATGAGAACAATGCTTTAAAACACAAAAAGTCTACATGTTCCATATTTAAATCAGATTATTATAGGATCATTATCAAACAGAATATGCAATTTTACAAAAATTAAAATGTCTAGAAAGAGTTTAGGAATTTCACATAATAAATATTCAGATGGATTAGAATAGAGCAAAATATAACTATAATGTGAATAAGGGGATCAAATGTTTTGGGACCATCGGAAAGGATAGACCTATAATACAAATGAGATAATAATAACGGGGACAATCATAAATAAGGCTGTAAATCATAACATTAAGAACATAGCTATAGAAAAAATACTTTAAAAAAAACAATAAACCGTCACTTATCCATATAATACATAGCACAAATGATCAACACACTGTCATTTACGTCACTTACAACATGTGAAAATGATCAATTTGTGATATTAAGTTGTTGTACAGTCATTTGGTCATTCATAAGACCAGTGACGATGGCTGGTAGTGTCAAAACGACAGACACCCATCTTGTCCAATCTGATTTTGCGTTTAGGTAGAGCTGCACCAACCACAGCCAGCGAGTTTCTCACTTCCGGTATCAGCTGTCCAATCACAGGCAGCAAAATTGTGGAAGGGGAGGGGCCTATCCTGCCTTGGTTTTGCCCAGTCCGGATGTTTCCCAGTAGCGAATAACGAACAGCAGTGTGTGAATGTGGCAACCGAGGTAGACAGGGAGGGGTAGATAGAGTGACCAGACCTCAGGCTTTTTGTCTTTTGTCTTTATTTCTCTTCTCTGACGAACTGTTTGCAGTCTATGTACAGACACGGTTGTAAACTTGTGTATGTAGCAGAAAACCCGACCACTGCTGCTTTTCTCTGGGACTCACCGTTACCGTAGTGAAAACAGCCCAGAAGAAAGAAGGAAGGGGAGAAACAACATGGGGCGATGATAAAAAAAGAAGGTGTTGTGCTGTGAACCGACGATGACTCTCTGGGAGGATCCGTGAAGCTTATTTATTTTTATTTATTGCCCCGCTTTCCCTGTCCCTGTTTTATTTTTGTATGTTCTCCTCCCTTGCTACTTTGGTGAGGTTGCTTTTTAAAGGATAAGGATACGTTACAAGAAATACAGAAGGATGGACCAAGCCGGCATCCTTAGAAAGTTTATCCAGGGGGTGAAGGCCATGAGCGAGGGGGACGAGGAGAGGGGAGAGGACAACTTCGGCAGCGACTTCATGGTGAGTCAAAATGAACAGGAGCCGAGCTAGCTTCTTTTATCTTATGTGCATTCACCTTTGCGTTCACAATTTCCACCTTTCGTCCCAGCTGACCCTCCATACCCCCCATTCCCCCTCCCCGTATCCTGGTTCCCTGTATCCCCCAGGAGGTGAGGCAGGGGCGGTCACACTGCCCTCTTCCTCTTCCTCCCGTTTCCAGGCTTTAGATGGCGGCCTAGCATTGTCTCTACTAGTGTTTCTTCAAAATAAGGAGACAACAACTGAACAACACACAGTCACGTCTGGCCCTGGGCAAACATTTTGACATGGCGTTGTTGGCATAGCTTAGCTTTAGCTTGAAGGTAAAGGCTTCCTGTCTGTTAACCATGTATGTTAGGATACAGTGCAATGATTCATTGTCCTACAGGATACTCTCTAACCAGCAGATAGACACTCACAACACTTTATTATCGAAGTATCTGTAGTACTCTTGAACAGAAATAGAAGAACGTGTTGCTGCTGTATGCATTTTGTCAAATATCCATGTATGGCTAGCTAACTGACATCTATTGTTATTTATACACTCTGACTTCTCATAATGACCGACTGAATGCAAGTGACAGTTTTACTCTATTATATTAGAGGAATCTTATTGTCCCTCAATATTTATAATTAACAGTTTCCCGTTTGTAGTTTTTTTTTTTTATCAAACGAGAAGCAGTACAAAGCAACATGAACAAGCTAGTTTTGTTAAACCTTTGAGCACATTTGAAAGGTAATTTCAGCAGGGAGATTAGACTTTTATTGTGAAAGTAACATATTTGTAATATTATTTATTTGTTATATTATATATTTGTTATTATGACAAAAATGAAATGGGGAAAATTAAAAAAGGTTTTGATTTTTTTTTTATTTGCACTTTAAGCAACCACAGTTCTGAGAGAAAACATCCCACAAAGTGTAACCTTTAGTAGTAGATGTTGTATTTGTTCTGTAGTTCATTTTAAGTTTATTATCCTAGTGATAGCTGCTCACTCCTTGGCAGTCATTTGTTAACCCACGCTGTATCACTTCATGTTATTGTGTTGCAACTCTGGACTCAAAATAGGACTTGTCCCAGGCTTGTGAAATAGCTGAAATAGCCATGACTGTAATACCACTCATATTATTCTGTGGTCTTTTTAGCGTAATGGCTTTCATTAGGATACAGTAGGATGTACTGCTAACTACAGAACATGTGCACGCTTAATGCATGTAACTTGAAGTAAATACTAAAATGCTTTCAGATACTTTAGGCCTCAGTAGTGTTTTTGGTTAGTTGTATTTTGCTGCAGTTTGTTTGCTGAAAGGCTCATAAGCATCAGAACTTTTACCCTTTTGCCTACAGTTGCAATAACACACACACACACACACACACACACACATTCTCCCTACTTCCCTACTTCATGCAAGCTGCTTGCCGGAGCTTGCAACATTCTTTCTTGGCCTATTTCATAACATTTTGTTCTGGCTTTACAACTGAAGCTTTATCAACACCTTGGCACACTAAAGGATACATGATACACAGTTTCTACATGTGTCTCTTTCTCTGAATAGGTGGATCACATTCTGAAATAAGGAAAACTTTGTGTGAGTTTTTAATGATGTGATCTGTCCTGATCTTCAAATGAGTGTTTCAGAAGAAAGGGAGATAGAGGATGTTGCACAAAAACCCTTCTACAAGGGCAGTTTAGGAAGTACTTCTTTGGATGAGTTTGAGACAGTCAGCGGTTCATCTCATTATCATGTGATCAAATAAAACTTTAACACAGGTTTGAATAAATGTAACTATTTTAAAATTATAATTCAGTCATTGTGCAGAGTAAATAAAGGTTCTTCTTTTAGCACCACCACATGTTTCATTCATAACTTTACACACATCCTACAACAACCACAGTCCTCTGCTGCATTGAGAGGCGAGGTCATCTTAAATATTGTTAAGGGTCAAAAAGTGTGGTTTTAAAAAACAGAACCCAGAAAATCAATTTTTCCAAAACCTTACAGGATACCACAGTTGCTTTTTGTGCCCTGAGTCTTCATGTGATATCTGTTCAGTTTCCTTTTAAGCTAGCTTTATTGGCATGAAGGACAATAAATCTTTTCTGCAGTGAAACATATTTCCTGTTAGCCTTTTGGCTATCATGCAACCCTCCAGACTGTAGTGCTATTATCAAACAGCCTGCTATCTCTGGGACATGTAAGTGCTTCAATTTGAACTATTTCTTTAATTCGTTAACTCCTGACAAATTCAATGTCAGCATTATTGCATGCAAGTAAATGGAGCTTCAACTAAATTATTAAGCAGAAACAGCAGAAATCTTGTGCCAATAAGGGTTTTAGCTGCTGCTCTGTTGTACCATTTTCAAAGCTTTGGTGAAGCTTTTAATTGCTGTAGACGACCTCAGAATACCACAAGAGCACGGGCTGTGCTCCTTAGTTCACTGAGTCACCAAAACACCCTGACATAACACCCACTTTAACTGCCCATTGTTGTTTATATATAGAATGTGTTTTATAGGCATAATTACAGTGATCTTTTAAGGCAACAAGTCAGCGATTATATGCTTTGTTCAGTACCCTTTACAGCACTTTGATCAAATGGGAAAAAAAATTCTTATACCAAAGTGTGAAAATTCAAGTTCTGGTATTAAGTTGGCAGGTTTTCCTGTCCGGAAAAAATATCGGACCCATTTTGTATTTTAAGAATAATTTCAGTGCTGTTCCTTTAAGGAGTTTCTATAACTTTCACATCAACAAAGATGTGTATGCACCTGAATAACTTCAGACAGACCGGCAAGACATGATTTACAAAAGACACTGTGAGAATCTGAAGTCTGCTTTTATATCAATGCTATGTGTGATTGGACGTATTTAAGTTATCAACAAACTAGTGGAAAAGAACAGCTTCATTAGGTCCCTGATCATTGCACCAGTTGGGTGATAAAAACGTAATTCTCCCCGCCGCTCTGAATATTTCCTTCTGAGTTTACACATCCACTTGACAGAGAAATTTAGAAAAAAAAATTTAAGGGTGAAAATTTCAGCAGTTTGCGTTCACACATGCTGCTCATCTGGAAAGTTTCAAGAAATTTTAGTTTTTACAAGTGTGGATACATGCCAAGTGATCTGGTAACATGACCCGTTCTGGAGCATGTGCTGTAAATACATTAGAGCCTCCTGTGGCGTGAAAGGACACAGCGAAACATGATGAACATTAATAATCACACCTTTTATACCCACGATACATCTCACCGTGCGTCACAGTTTGGGAAACTACATGATGATAATGAAATCAATAATGAACGCAATAAATAATGTGATATCAGACATGTAAAAAACAGAAGGTAAATCAAGTAAAACATGACATTTTAAAGGTTGTGCAGCAGTGTGTAAGGCAGAAGCATGTGAGTTTTAGTCAAAGTAGTGGTGCTACACATACCCTCTAAATGTACAGCATTATATATATATAAGTGTCTGCCTATCAGAGGTGATGTCATGCAGCATGTCAACAGACCTGTATGATCGATTTAACCAATCTGTTGTGATGATGGTGTCCCTCTTTACAACACCACACAATATTGAATTACAAGGATAGTTATCAACTCACTGTGTCAACCCACGACTCTCCAAACTAGAGGGCTTATGTAAGAGAGCTTTTTTAAATTCAAATATCCAGTTACAGAAGTAACATTATAAGGAGATGACATTCAGAGAAGAAGAAAAAAAAGACATATTAGAGGAGAGGTTCTCGCTGCAGTATGATATGATTCACTGGGTAAAGGCAGCAAAAGATATTAGACAGGGTAAGAACTAAAGCTGCACTTTCATTAATCAAAACTGAAAAGAAAAAAATGCATCTACCGTCTGCAAAATATAACAGAGTTAGCTCCTCTTTGAGGCATTCAAAGATACTAACGGTATTCTGCAGTTGGCTAAAATATAAAATGACCTTTACAGCAGATTCCCTGAGCTATATTATTAGCGAGCATGTTCTCGTCTTTAAAAGCACATTTAAGAGAAAACAGTGACATTTACAAAGTGCTGACCAATTCATCTTTCAATGATTTGGCAGAGATTATATTATATTTTTTATTATCTGGGAACCTGCACTGTGACCACCCCCTGCTCAACTGACAGAAATGTCCTGGTAACAGGTAGCCAAGTAAACTTTAGTTACTTTATTTAAAAAAGTAATAGGGTCAGGTGTCAGTAAGAGAGGTGGTACCAGGATAGAGTTTAGCTCAAGGCCTGCTTGATTGATCTCACCGTTTTTAATAGACATACAAGCTTCAGTGATTGAGCCTGCGAACTCTGGGTTAGTAGGCCATCACTAGGCCTGAAAGAAACATCACCATTACAGTACACTCTTATAACTCTTAAGTGTCTAACGGTGGCAGGGGATGTGGAAATATAGAAGTGATAGATGTGTTTCAGAAGACAAACTTCTAGTCAAATGAGGAACTGATCATGTTTTTTCTCATTTACATTTTGGCGTCTTCCCTGATGAAAGAGGCCTCCCTGATGCAAATAAACAGACATCTTCATATAAACAGATGCCTTGGTACTGCATGCAGTGTGTGAGAGAGGACCAGACACTTTCGGTGTTATGGAGGTGTGAAAAGTTATTTCACAGGTTCAGCAAACATAGCTATTTTGTAGAAGCCGGAAACGAGGAGACGTGTGAGGAGCTTGCTGTAAAAGCAGGATGAGAAACCTCAGCGTGGTGATAGCTACAGTACAACTTTAATATTGTTTCTGTACATGTTTTTAATATTTGTTGAACACAGGGCCAAACTGTAGTCTAGACAGGTTTACAGTTAGAGATTAGCCTCTGTATTATGTGCATGTTTGTGTGTGTGTGTTCCTGCCCCACCTTTGCAAGCAGATTACTCCCAAGCAGCACATCAAAGAAAACCCAAAAAGTGCAAACACACGCTTCTCTAAGCATGCGTCCTGCTGTGTAGACATAAAACACAGAGGAG